TGTATTGACTTTCTGGAGCACTTGCTTATGATTGCAACGTTTGTGGTAATGGATAAGTGGACTGAATGAATGCGGATGAATTAACTAGAGCCATGAAACTCAGTGGAGAAAAACCAAGCTTTCTGTTTTACTTTTTAACAGACTGAATCTATGAGTTTATCATAGAATTCAATTCTGTGCAGGTCACAGTTGTGTGTAAAATCAGAAGTATTTCCAACCGAGGGGGATATATCAGCAAGAAAAATGGCATCTTTCCACAAGAGGTATCTTGGCACTATAGTTGGAAACAAAATATCCTTGGAGATACTGTAATATACTAACAATTTTTATTTCTTCAGTTATTCATCAACTATTTTAAAATTTTACTATATGTGTTTATTTACTTATTTTTAGTTTGATGAGAGAGAGAGAGAGAGAGAGAGAGAGAGAGAGAGAGAGAGAGAGAGAGAGAGAGAGAGAGAGAGAGAGAGAGAGAGAGAGAGAGAGAGAGAGAGAGAGAGAGAGAGAGAGAGAGAGAGAGAGAGAGAGAGAGAGAGAGAGAGAGAGAGAGAGAGAGAGAGAGAGAGAGAGAGAGAGAGAGAGAGAGAGAGAGAGAGAGAGAGAGAGAGAGAGAGAGAGAGAGAGAGAGAGAGAGAGAGAGAGAGAGAGAGAGAGAGAGAGAGAGAGAGAGAGAGAGAGAGAGAGAGAGAGAGAGAGAGAGAGAGAGAGAGAGAGAGAGAGAGAGAGAGAGAGAGAGAGAGAGAGAGAGAGAGAGAGAGAGAGAGAGAGAGAGAGAGAGAGAGAGAGAGAGAGAGAGAGAGAGAGAGAGAGAGAGAGAGAGAGAGAGAGAGAGAGAGAGAGAGAGAGAGAGAGAGAGAGAGAGAGAGAGAGAGAGAGAGAGAGAGAGAGAGAGAGAGAGAGAGAGAGAGAGAAAGCTGCCAGGTCTGGGACTCGAACTGTGGTCAGCCTTGTGAGAATCCAGCACTCTTGACCACCACGCCACCTGTTCACCCCATATTCATCAGCTAGTATTGAGGACCACATTGAGGACCACTATGTGCTAGGCTCTGTGCTTGCACCTGGGGATACATTAGTGAATAAAATCAGTCTCCATCTTTATGAGGGAGATGGGAGAAATTTAAGTACAAAGTTTCAAGATGACATATTTGATGATTTTATTGTTTTTATTTGTGAATGTGTGTGTTTTTTTGGTGTGTAATTGTCAAAGGGTGCATGTGTTCCTCAGAGACAGAGAGCACCCCCTCAATGAGGTATGGTCACAGTGCAATCCTTTCCCTCCATTTATCCATCCTGTCGGGACTTTGTCCATTTTCTTGTCTATCTTTGTGCTGAGAACAGACCTAGAAGTCCAAAATGAGCCTGATGGCTCTTTGTTTCACCCAATTCCTCTTTCAATGTTTCTGTGCGAAACTCAGGCTGGAGGCGTGACTGATAGTGGATATTTAGGACCACTGCTTACACATTTGGAAGGGAGATTGGGAGGTTGCTCAGCAGAAACCGAGGAGGTGAGATGTTAACTGTCTTTCAGATACACCTGTGGGGAATTGGTAACCTATATCCTGTCGTGGCATCTTTAAGCCGGTGGGCGCTGAGTAATGAGTCGAGGCCATAGGGAAAGTCAGGGAAATGGCAGGCAGGGCCATTGAGGTTCCATCCAGGACTCCAGAAGGAAGCGTAAGTGTGGTTGTCACATAAAGGTTGAAAGGAGAGAGGACCGATGGTCGGCTAAGGATTGGCTGTAGCGTGTGTCAAGGATGAGCGGGTAAAGATGAGAAGTTAAATGAGAGTGGAGGAAGTATAAAAATATACCATTGTAAGGACGGAGATAGCGAGGAGCAGATGATAAATTCTAGTAGGCCAGTGTGTGAAGGAAAATGCAGATAAGCACTTTCAAAAAAGTGCTACACATTGTGTGTGCTCGCTGGAGAGGGAAAGAATGAGAGAAAACACCACCCTCCCCCACTGGGGATGGTCACACTGTAATCCCTTCTTCTTCATTTCTGCTTTTGGGATTTTGGGCATACACGCACAAGTACCCAGCATATTTTTCAGGTCGCTGAGTCCAGGACTCCAACTGGGCAGTCAGTCATGTGGGATCCAGTCACCTCAACCCCATGCCATTGGTTGATCCAGTTAAGCACATTTTAAGAGAAGGCCTATTTTTAAAAGTTAGCTCTGGGCCCAGCCTGAGTGACACAGTCCACAGTGTACTGGACTTCAGTGTTGGAAGCCACATGGCTGGCTGCCCATGGGTTTGACCTGAAAACACAGCTGGTGCAAGCACACTCAGAGGGGACCCAGAGTCACGACCAGCTGGAGGGCTGGGAAAAAGGGATCACAGCAAGTTGAAATTGTGTCCAGGGCATTTACTCTCTCTCTCTAGTGTGTGTGCATGTACTCACTGTCAAAAATAAAAGCCCTGAATTCGTGTTCCTAATGGACACATTGTGCAAAGGTGGGCTGGGAGGGAGAGGTATGTCTTTTTTTTTTTTTTTTTGGAGAGGTTTTTTTTTTTTTTTTTTGCTATAGGGCACGTGCACTCGCCAGACAGAGAGAGAGAGACAGAGAGATAGAAAGCGAGAAATCATCCCCCAGGGGGGATGGCCACGCCGCAATCCCTTCTCCTCCATTCTCCTCTCGGGATCTTGGACACGCACGCACACGCGCCCGGCGTGAGTTTCAAACCACCGGGTCCAGGACTAGAACCTTGGTCGACTACGTGAAAGTCCAGCGACACAGCCATTACACTAACTGCTGGTCTCAGGGAGAGGTATGTCTTTATCAGATATACAGAGATTTAGAATTGGGAAAGCACATAAAATCCTACAAACATCAGTTGGTGATCCTACAGTGCTCCGCCGTACCTGGGACCTTTTGGTGTGCTCAGGGGATTCCTTCCTGTTGAGATCTGCATCTTCATACCTGGAGGGTCTTTCCCCCCAAACTAGGAAAAGCCAAACCACTAGCTCCAGGTAGGCAGGAGGTGCCATGGAAATAACTTTTTCTAACTTGGCCAATGTCCCTAGGAAAGTGAATGTTTAAATGCTCCAATTTCCTCATCTCTCAGGTGGGTAATTCAGAAGCCTGTGGTTTGTAACCTTTCTGAGAGCTTTCCTGTGGGCTAAGCTCCAGTGGTCTTCTGGTAGCTGGCTTAATGGTGCCCCTTCATAGGCTTCCTTTCCTTCTCTGTGTCACTTCTCCAATGCTCCCTGCACCTCCTAGATAAAATCCTTTTCCTTGCTTCTTTGTCTTAGGGTCTGCTCTGGAAGACACTAGCTTTCCCCAGCACCATAAATGCCTGCACAAGATCTTTGGCGATGATTCTAATGCAACCTTGAGTACATCTAGTGCCACTTCAAACAGCCTAATTGCTTATGAATGTTCTTTCTAATATTAGATTGAAAATCACCTTCTCTAACTTTCTAAGGTTTTACCCTTTGGTCCTACGTCTGCTAAACATGGGCAAAATGCACGCAAGTGCGCGCGCACACACACACACACACACACACACACACACACGAGGTCTTCAAAAAGTTCATAGAAAATATCTATTATAAAAGAAAACACAGTGGTTAAGGCACTCAAATCCCACATGATGAATTGAGAGGTTTGAGTCCTAGACCTGGTGGCTTGAAAACCATGCTGGGCACATGTGCATGGTGCCCAAAAATCCAGAAGGAAAGAAGAGATGGAGTAAAAGGAGTTAGAGCATTCCCCACAGGGATGCTTTCTCATCTCCCTTTGTTTTGGTCTCCTTTCTCTCAGTCTCTCAGGTGAGCAAATGCACCCCCTAGCAAAAATAAATAAATAAATAAATAAAAATAAAATAGCTGTGCATGAATTAAAAAGATTTTTTTTTTTGCACCAACACAGACTCATACTTTAAATCCCTTTTTGGCACGCTTTCTGAAGTCTGCAGCATGTATGTGTATGCACATATATTACTTTAAGAGTCTGCTGTGAGAATGATGAATTCTTTAAAAAGAGGCGGAGGAGCTGAGCAGTGACCCAGTGGAAAACACAACACTCTGCAAGGCTGACCTGGATGGGAAGGTTCTGGGTTTTCATCCACAGAATTCTCTGAGTGTGCCAGGCACGTCTGTGCCCATGAACCCAGGCTGGCTGAGGCTGGGGGTGGATTGTGGTGTTAAGTCCCTAATGGGGATGTTATTTCTCTGTCTCTTTCTGGCTCTCTTGCTCATGGAGAAAAATAAATAAGTGAAATTAAAATAATCAAAAAGTAAAAGGGGAGGTTGAAGAAATCTAAGTGTTTGACAAAAAATGGCAAACCTAACCAGATGTTGCTTAAACATTTCAATTTAACATGGAGAAAATTAATCAGCAAATCCATCAACATTCAACACCATGGTACACTTAAATATGTTGCAGACTTACCATACTGAAGTTAGACCCCAGTACTTCACAGGAGAAACAGCCAAAAATCAGAAGCAACTCTAAAGCCTCTTGACTGTTTACCAATGCCCCAATATGGATACAAATAATAAGCTCAAAGAAATAACACAAGGAGAAAATTGGAATATCAGAAATTATCAAGACCTTGTGAGGGACCAGCAGATGGTGTAATGGCTATGTTGCTGGACTCCCATGTAGTCGACCATGGCTCAAGTCCCGGGCCCATTGCTTAAACTCATGCCAGGTGCGTGTGCTTGTGTGCCCAAGATCCCGAGAGAAGAATGGAGGAGAAGAGATTGTGGTGTGGCCATCCCCCCTGGGAAGTGATTTCTTGCCTTCTGTCTCTCTGTCTCTTTCTGTCTTTCTGGCGAGCACATATGCCCTATGGCAAAAAGTCTGGAAAAAAAAAAAGACCTTGTGGATGAGATTTATGCCTGAAATATGGAAATGGAATAAAATATACAATGTAAGATGGATTGAATTATGTTACAAAGTTACAGCACTGCAGTTATAAAATGGTAAATGTAAGGAGCTAAATGGGAAAGAACCATGGAGATCACTTGTTGTATGATAAAAGGGTAACTTGAAGTGATAGCGTCATGAAGCTAGCAACTTAATTCATCAACCCACTAACAACGAAAGTCCTTCCTGAAATATATCACAAAACTAGCACAAAAACAAGAAAGTAACAAGTAGCAAATCAACCTTAAACTCTCTTGGGAGTAAGATTGGCACATCAAAGAAAAACGTTTGATGTTGGGGAACTTCACAATTTGTTTCTTCACATCGCATTGGACTGTAAGTTGAACATCTAATGGACTCCTCATTTATCTTGGTGAAATAGTCTTTTCTTGTTGGAAAGAAAGTTACTTCTACTCTAGGCCTAATTCCAGACAGCAGGGTGGAACTTATTTGTGTAGTAGGAAGGATGAGAACATTGGAAGGCAGTAATCAAGTTAGTCCAGGCTGAGAGAAAAATACATCTTAAACATGAGCAAGTCCAGGGAAAAGAGAGCAGGTTTGAGGGCGAATGTCTCCAATAAAGGGACAAATGCAACTTGGTTCGTAGGAGAGAAAATAAAATCCTTACTATCCAATCCCAGAAGACGGAGGAGAGTCTGCTAGAGTGCAGTGTGTCACAGACCTCTGCAATACATTTAGCTTTGAAAGGACATGTTCAAAAGCTGGGAGGAAGGACACATGGCCAAGGATGAATACAAAGACTGGGTGCCCTTGTAATGATCTTATCAGGAAGGCTGCAGCTTGGAATATGCTGCATTCACAAGATTGCTAAGGAGAATAAAACTCTGTTTTTCAGTCATGTTGGAAATAAACAGGATAAAGGAGAAATACGTGTCCCACTGCTTGGAGTAAAAGTGTGATGTTTGCAGCCAGAAGAGAGAAAATTGCTCTACTTAACTCTTGTCTGGCCATCTTTTCCAAGAAGACATTAGGTTATTCCACATTTCTGCTCTTGCTACGAGATAGTTACCATCAGGATAAGTAAAGACTTTTTCACATGTTATGGTTTAAACAGAAATACCCTTCCTTTCTTTTTTCCTTTCAGCTTCTTTTTTTTTTTTTTTTTTTTTTTTTTTTAAGAGAATATTGAGAATCAAGGTAGATGAGATAGGTGATTATACTGGTTACGTAAATTGCACTCAAAAATCACAACTCAATCCATACTAATAATGGCAAACACATATAATTCTTACTATTCAAGTTCTAAGTGCTTTACTTATATTCATTCATTTAGATCTCATAATCCTGTAAAGTAAGTAGTATTATCATCTATATTTTACAAATGAGGAATTTGACTCCCAGAGAGGTGTCTAAGATCCCCCGAGGAAGCAGTTGGTAAGACCAGGGATTGAACCCAGACAGTCTGAATTCAGAGTCTTTGCTCTTGACTATCATAAAATGCTGAATTTCAGAAAATGGAAAGAATGCTGCAGATGTGATTGCAGAACTTCTTCAGCAGTCTTAGAAGAATCAGAGCTTGAAGGGCTCACTGGGGAGTGGAGGGGATAAGTCTTGGATTTCATAAACGAGAAAACAGGTAAAGCCCAGGAACAGGAACTCCTGGGGCCTGGCATGGATTCTGGCAAAGCTGCAGAGTAAACTGGAAACAGATGGATTGTGAATGCTCAGGAAAGGAAGCTGTGATCTCTGGGAGCCAGCCTGGTTTAAAGCAAGAATAAGTCAGGCCCAATTAACTTCATCTTACTGTTGGAAGAGATCAGTGACCTGGTAGAATGCTAGATGTTGATGTGAGAGTATCTGATGAAGTCTCTATGCTGATAACCTTCTTTACACGCTGGAAAGTGGCACAGGGTTAGTTCTAGATAACACTCCACTAACTTGCGCAGGAGAGTAGGTTGATGAATCACTTTCAGTGCTTAACATTGAGTCTAATATATTGCAGATTCCTTTTAAATATGTATTGAATGAGTGAAGCATGAAGGAAACTTCTAATTCTGTGCTGACCCCTGAGCTACTTAATATTTTTATTTAACAGTGACAAAGATAAAAATAGAAAAGACATGCTTATCAAACTTGCTGGTAAGGCAAAGTTGGGGGAGAATTATTTCCATGGGTGACTGAATTTATTTTTAAAAAGATCTCAACATGCTAGAAACAGGCTATCAAGACAAACTTTAGCAGTGTAAATCTAAAATCCTGCATTTAGGCCAAAAAAAAATCAATGAGGCAAACACAGAAGGAGGGATACCTTGTTTGAAGGTGATTCATGTGAGAAAAAAAGTAACCTAATGGTTTTGATTAAACATAGGCTTAATATAAGCTAAGAGTGTTCTATGACCACTCAAAATGCTAAAAAGACTCTTAGGTCCCCTTAATAAATGTCTGCCTTACAAATGAAGGTAGGCAATGACCCTGTAGTATGTATTAATCAGAGCACACCTTGAGGCCCATTGTCAATTCTGGTAGCTACACTTTCAAAAAGAAATATGGACAGAAAGACTGAGCTGGATTCAGAGGTGACCAGGGTGATCAAGAGTCTGTAAACCAGTGGTAAGACAAATGACAGTGGTCTTGGAAAAGATCAATTTTAGACAGAACAAGATTTGGCTCAGTTGGGCAATAGGTGAAAGTTAGAGAAGGCAGCTTTCAGCTCAGAAAGTGGAAGGAAAGCATGAGAATGATTTGTAGGCAAATAGACTATTCTGAGAAGTATTATACCTACTATTCCTGGAAGTAGATTTTGTTAGGGCTATCACACAAGGATACTGTTTCCCAAGAGGGAATTTCAGATTTAAGTAGAAGGCTGAATTTTGTAGATGGCTTAATCTTTTCTTGCAATTCCAAACTTTTGAATCTGGGATTATGACAAAATCTTATATTATACTGTGATTCACTCAACTCTCACTTGTTTCTTCCTTTTGCCACACCTGAAAAATTAAAAAAATGACTATCTTTCTCTCCATATATGTGTATGTGTGTGTATGTGTGTGTGTGTGTGTGTGTACGTGTATATTCAGGATTTGACAGCTTATTTGAGTTCATACATTTATGAAGAAACAGCATTGGCACAAGTGGAATTATGTGGGATCAGCAATAGTTTCCTGCCACAGTACATGCATAACTTAACATGTCGGTTCTCAACCCCATATATAGTGAATTTTTAAAAAATGTAGTATAAAGATTTCAGTTTCTAACAAAAGTATGGAAATAACTCATGGCTTTTCAACCTTCTTTTTTCCCCTCATGTCATATCATTAAGGGGACCTGAATCAAGGTCGTGAAAACTCAAGCTGTTTGATTTGGAATGAAAGAAAATCAAAGAGAACAGATGATACATGGGATGTGGAAATGAATTTGAAGTTGGACAAAAGCCCAGTTTTTCAGTAATATCCAAGCTGATCATTTTTCTCTTTTTGCCTTAGAAGGGAAGTGACTGCACATTAGATGCTCTGTGACCTTTGTGACAGTTCCAACTCATCTTGTTGTCATGCTCTGTCAGCTCTTTTAGAAGTTAGCATGGATTTATAATAGCATAGGACTATAGCAGACTGATTTAGGCATAAAAATAAGTATTGTGGCACTAAATGTTTTCCAGGTTTTTATTTGTTGCTAGCAAGAATACTGTAGTTAATATTTATGTCATTCTTTTATTGAGCAAATCACAATTGAATCTAAGATTTTAAAGCAGGCTTGAAGCAAACCTAAAATACATAGTCATTACTTACTTGGTTGGTGCTGGCCAACTCATGGATTAATTTGACGTCATTCTCATCTCCAACACTGACACGGAACACCTTCTCGCTGAATGGTGAGATAGTGAAAGAACAACAGAACATTTAAAATTAGCTATTGGGTTCCTGACATTTGATCCAAAGTGGACAAATACAGAAGGTTTAATGCTGAACAAAGCAAGATGGACTATGAAAGAGAGGCATTATATATCCCTGCTTAATATATACCAAATGTTTGCACTCTGCAGCAGAAACTGAGAGATTGGAAGGTATAGAGGAGGGAGAGCAACTGTAGATACCAAAGAGTGTGGGAGGGGGGCTGACAGGAGCCATGGTGGTTAATGGTGCTGGACTTCCACATGGCCTACTATGGTTCAAGTCCCGGATCTGGCATCTTGCGTTCCTTCTTTCTCTCTCTCTTTCTTTCTCTGTCTCTGTCCCTCTCTGGTCAAATTAAAATAAATAAATAATAAAGTCAAATAAAATAATTCTTTAAAAATAATAAGGAGAGGTTAACAGTATGGGAGGAAAGGAATCAAGGGGAGGGAAAAAACAAAAGATACAAAACCAAAAAGTTATCTGGTGATGGTAAGGTATACACTATTCATGATGAGAAAAACCATTTTGTGTTCTGTACAGATATTTGCTGATTAAAGATAAATAAAAAAATATATATTAAAAAATGAAATTAGGTTATATGTTGACATTTTGGGACTAGCAAGGAAGAGGGACTCCAAGGAATTATGTACTTACCCTTCAAAGTGCTCACCATGATGATGAGCAGATGCCAAGGGCACCATCAACAGAACCAGAAACACCAACATTTTGTCCGACTAGGTTTACTGGGTGGGTCTTACCTGCTTTTATATTTCAGATTGTTCTGTTTTCTTCTCTGGAGTGCAAATAGCCAGTGTCAGATCTTGATTAATGGTTCTCCCAGCATTGTTGCCTTGATAGCTGTGTAAAGTATAAGATATCTCTCAACACCTGTGGAAATAGTGCAAATAATCTCAAATTCAATTTATCTAATTTGGATGTCAGACCTTGAGCAATCTGAAGGTGAATGAGTTCTAAATACAACCTATTTTGTAGTTTTTTTATATTAATTTTTTCTTTTCATCTTGCATTGAGACTTACATACAATACATTCTATAGATTTAGGTGTCAAGTTTTACAAAAATATATACACTCATGTAATAAATATCCCATTCAAGATATAAAACATTTTCCACCTTAAGAAGTTTCCTTGAGCACATTTGTAGCCTATTTCTGTACTCTTCTCAAGCAATTGCTATTCTGATTGCTAAGATTTGTCAGCATTTTTGTTTGTATTATTGGCTTGTTCCTTTTTATGTACAAGTAATATTCACTGTATGAATTTACCACCATTTGTTAAGTTATTTTCCTGTTGATAGATATTTATATTATTTCCAGTTTTATATTATTATGAATAAAGCTGAAATAAACCTTTTTATAAAAGTCTTTTTGTTAATATATTTAATTTGGATGGAGTTTAAATATCTGTGTGGAATTGCTAAATAATAATGTAGATTTAACACTATAAGATATTGTCGAATATTTTTCCCAAGGGATTGTACCTTTTTAAGCTTCTAGCATTATCCAATTGCTCTGTATTCTCTTCAACACTTTGGTATTTTTAGTCTTTTAATGTTGGTAATTCTGGTGAATGTGAAGTGGTATCTAATTATGATTTTAATTTGCATTTCCCTAGTGACTAACCATGTCGAACGTCTTTTCATGTGCTCATTGACCATTTGTAAATTCAGCGAAATCTTCTGCCTTTTAGAAGAAAATTGGTTGTGTATCTTTTTATTCTTGTTTTGTAAGCAGTTCTTTAGATAGTCAAAATATAGGCCCTTTGTTAGAAATATATATTGCTGATATATATTATCCTAGTATATAGTTTGCATTTTCATTTCCTCAATGTTACCTTTTGATAAACAGACATTACATTTTGATAATGTTTCAGTTTGTCAACATTTTTCTTTTATAATCAGTGCTTTTATATTCTTTTATAGACATATTTTCCTACTCCAAAATCTCAAACATATTTACTATGTTTTCTTATAGAAGGATTGTAGTATTAGGGCTTTAGGTATGGTGTAAGCTATGAGTAAATATAAATATGTTTTAAAATAAGGATATCCAATACTGTTTAAAGTCCTTTACTTTCCAGAATTACATTAGGTTCTCTGTCACAATTATTTGGCCATATATATATATATGGAATATTTTATGTACTTTCTGTTGTGTTCTATTGATCTGTTTGTGTAATTTTATAAAACTACCTCAATGCCTTGATTTCTATACTTTATAGTAAGTCATTAAGATCAGACAATATGGGGACCAGCAGTTAGCATAATGGCTATGTCGCTGGACTCCCATGTGGTCGACTGTGGTTCGCGTCCTGGACCCGGTGGCTTAAAACTCATGCTGGGCGCGTGTGCGTGCGTGCCCGCCCAAGATCCTGAGAGAACGGAGGAGAAGGGATTGTGACATGGCCAACCCCCCGGGGAGTGATTTCTCGCTTTCTGTCTCTCTCTCTCTCTCTGTCTGTCTGGTGAGCACATGTGCCCTATAGCACAAAAAACAACAACAACAAAAAAAAGATCAGACTATATGTAAATCTTTTATCTTTTGTTCCTTTTAAAGATTGTTTTTGTTTTAATTGATACTAATTATTTGTCAATTTCCATAAAAATCTTGCTGGGGCTTTGGAGTTACATTGGATTTATAGAGAAATATGGGAAGAACTGGTATTATGATATTAACTCTTTCAACTCAGAAGCATGATATCTCTCTATATTAATCTGAATCTTTGTGAAAAACTATGAAGGGTCTGAGATTCTATTCTACTTGCAAAACAAGTTATCCTGCCACAAGATCACAGATGTTGGCAGAAGACACAATACTCCTGGATCAGGAGCACAGAATGTATTATTCATGGCATAGAAAGTGGCATAAACTTCACATTGTATCAGCTTTTTATCCGCCTATTCCATGGGGATGATTGCAAGTGGGCCCAGGTCGATGTGATGTACACAGGTTATGTCATAGTTGAGATATAAGAAGCTTAGGAAGTTTCTAATCTTATGAAGCTCCTAATCTTCTAATCTTAGCAAATCTGCCCAATTTGTGCACCATGAGAGACATTAGCTTTATTATCCTAGACAGCAAGCAGATCTTTTTCTTTTTGGAGAGGTTTTTACTATAGGGCGTGTGCGCTCACCAGAAAGAGACAGAAAGCGAGAAATCACCCCCCCAGGGGGGTTGGCCACACCGCAATCCCTTCTCTGTTCTCCTCTCGGGATCTTGGGGACTCACGCACATGCGCCTGGCGTGAGTTTAAGCCACCAAGTCCAGGACTCGAACTGCGGTCGACTACGTGGGAGTTAAGTGATATAGCCATTACGTTAACTGCTGGTCCCTTCCAGATCTTTTTCTTTATCCTGGAGGGAGATACCATTTCTTTCTTCCAAAGTGTTTGCTATTTAAATATCCTTGGAAAAATAGCCTAGAATAAAAAGTATCTCAAGACTTGCAGAAACAGGGGAATCATGGAAAACTGTTCCTCAACACTACCTACTGCTTTCTACAACTTCTTGACTGAATTTTCCCATGAATATTCTGCTCGGTTGCTTACTCTGATTAATCAACTGACAGTGAATGGAACCAAATGCATTTAGTTTGTCTAATGTGGCATTTAATTAAGGTTAATATCCATAGGACTCCAAACAGCGTGATGAGGCCAATCTGCAACACTGACCTCATCCATGCTTCTTCAGGGTACGGATCCAGCCAGTGGAGTGAATTACATAAGCCATTAGAGTCAGCCTTAGAAAACCAGAAAGCTTTCTCTTTAAGTTTTAGTATCGACTATTCTACTTCACCTGAGGTGATCATTTGGGTACAACAGGATCTATTAACTGCTTCACAAACTCCATCATGGCCTGCAAGGAGGAAGTCTAGGGCAACTCGTGCATTGCTAACAACCCTGACCAGTGAGCTTGGGTTGACCTTGATGTATTTCAGGATTTAAGATAATGTTTAATGCATTTCATGCATGTGTATGACAAGATCCAATATAAAATTGCATTCAAGTATTGTGCTTGAACTAGTGTTTTAGGATTTAGTCTGGACTAATAATTTAGCTTTTCTGTATCTTTCAGAATATTCACACTTTTAGAGTGTAAGTCAGGAGTCAGCCTCGTGAGACAGTGGTTAAGTACAATACATCAGGGGTCGGTTCCCACATGGTTGTCCATGACTGGAGTCCTGATCTCTGGTGACTTGAAGAACACACTGGATATATATGCCTGCATGCCTCAAGTCCTCATCAGGAGGAGAGATGGATGGAAAAGGGTTACAGCATGACCATGCCTCATTGGGGGAGTTTTTAATCTCTCTTTCTCTCTCTCTCTGCTCTGTGGTGAGCTCCTTATGGTAATTAATTTTTTTTTTAAGATTATTAGCTATGTACAGGACATTTCTCATTTAGTTCATTACTTTGTCAAAATTCCATTAGCAAATTTTTAAAAAATGAAAGCCCAATTAATAACTCTTGAATATAAAGCATATAAAGAAATGGTCTATGTGTCTATGCTTTATCAACACAATTGACTAAAAAGTTGAAATAATTGACTATTTCCTTCTCTTTAATTTCTTTTAATGTTTTAAACTTGGTATATTGTTTCATTATTTTTATATTCTGGTTGAATAGTTGTGAGTCTTTATCATCTTATTAGGATTTTAAGCTCTTTGAGAGATCTAATTGTGTGTTAATCATTTTAATTTGTTTTGTAGCAGGTCTGTGGTACTTTGTTAAGTGAGAACATAGAAATAATGACAAGCTGATATTTTCACAGAAATACCAAATTAGTTTAGCATTGTTCAGCAACTACATTATAAGGATATTAATATTAAGACAAATATTGCTTTCTTAGGAAGGTCAAATTTAATTCTTCTCTTGGATTATGGCAAAAATACCTTCCAGTATTTCTTTTGTTTTATGACTATATGAAAATTTCCCTCCAAGGAAAATTATAAATGATCTGATCTGATATAGTAAAGTGATCTCTTCCCTCCCAACCATGTATGTATTCTTAGAATTGTCAGTTTCCTCTGAGGGCCTCTTACTTGTTAGAATCTTCTCTATATTCAGAATTTATGATCAAGTGACATCCACATGGGATATCTTTCTGATTACCACACCCATCTTGCACTATGTACTGGGCACCACATAAATAGTAAATCACAGCATTTGCTCATTATTCATAGATTTATTCTGAATTATCCTAACCCAGACTGTTCTGTACACCACATTTTATCCTGCTGCTGATTCTTCCAGATTCTGATCTCATTGCTCATTTTTTTTTCTTTCCTTCTCCACTGACTTGCCTTTTGGATTTACTCTTGTTATTGTCTTCTCAAGCTCAGTCTTTGAAATCTATCAATCTCAACTTGGGTTCTTTCTTCACTTCACTTTCCTAGGTTGCCCTAAGTTTTCTCTTGATTGCAACTAAACCTAAAAACAAAATAGTTAAGTGAAAGAGAGAACTTGTTATTCATATAAATGAAAAGTTCAGCAATAGTGCTGGCTTCCCAAATTCAACAGATGATGTTTATTAAACCTGTGCCTTTGTTTTTGGTAAACTCTGCCATGTAGTTATAGGATTACCACCGATAGGTACAGTTTTGCATTTTTATGGATTGATAACTTGAGTGGAAAAAAATCATGTCTTCTTACCCAAACTTCTAACCTAAGTCTTCATATTGAATCTCACTGACTTGGGACATGTGGTTATCTAGCGTGAACCAATTCTGTGGTTAGGCCAATGGAGT